CCATAACTTTTCAGAACAAAAAAATCAGTAGTAAATGGACATTTCCTTTCTCAGAAAACCCAAGTTTTATAAAGCCCCTGGAAATAGGGATACAATGATAGCACATATAGTTCCTGTCTAGAATTGTTCTTTTAATATAAAATAGGGAGAAAAGCTAGCTTTTATAAGGACTGCTTTCAAGTGCTGCTCTACCCTAAGATTTCTACAAAACTTCAACTAACAAACAGACGTGAATTTTCCATTTTGCCAAAATAAATCATTGTTTTCAACCGGTGTTGATGAGAACACTGAGATACAATGTTCATGTCCTATTTGTCTCACATGTGTAGTTGGATCTAAGTTTCACATTATGTTGAATCAGGAATTTTAAAGCTGAAAGGGCTCTGAGAAATAACGCATAGACTGAAGTGGAATCAAGGAGACAGGAAATAAAAATGGTTAGCGTTTATTGGGAGCTAGGTCCTTTGCGCAGTCCCCCCATACAACAGGGTCTATCAACCCTGAAGCTATTGATACTTAAGGCCAGATAATTCTCTGTTTGTGGGGGGCTGTCCTGTGCATTGTAAGATGTTCAGTAGCATCCTTGGCCTCTACCCTCTAGATGCCAGTAGCACCTGTGTCCCGTCCCCCCGCCCCCCAATTATGACAACCGAAATGTCTCTAAACATTACCAGATATCTGCTTGGTGACATTTGAGAACCACTGCCATACAACCTTTAAAAAAAAAAAAACCCTCATGACAACGAAGTTATTATGATACGCGTTTTTCAGAGGTAAGTATCTTCCTCCTCTTTGCCGAGCCAGTAAGTGACAGAAGCAGGACCCACATCCAGCTCTTCGTAACTCCATGTAATGCTAATGTTAACCACCAATGAGTAAAAATGGATCCATAATGTCAGGCGCTGTGCTAAGCACTTGACTTGCATACCCTCATAAAATCCTCCTATCAACTGTAAGAAGTGAATGCGCTCATTATTCCTGGGTTTTATAGGAGCAAACAGGCTTAGCCAGGTTATATACCTTGCCCAAGGTCATGTAGCTAAAAAGCTGCAAGCCTGAGTTAGAACGAAGCTCTGGCTTCCCCGTTCACACCCTTCACCTTCAGCCTGAGGTTTTATTATATCGAACTGGTAGCCAAGGGAGGGTGGGAGAGTTGCGAAAATATGATCTGCTCATACAATTAGAGGTAAGGCCTGTTGTGATTGAGCTCACTGGTCATTCATTTGTTCAGCATAGCATAGTCTAAAGAACCTGGTCTCAAATCCTCCACCAATTACTAGCTGTGTGAATTTGGGCTTGTTGCTTAACTTCTCTGAGTCTCAAGCCTCATGTTCCTCATCTGTAAAATTGGGATAAGTGGCTCCTTTTTAGGATTATTATGAAGAGAAAATGAAATAATGGAAAATGCAGGGCATAGTAAGAAACACTATAAGTAATAGATAAAATGTATTAATAAACGTTGTTATTGTTGGCACTTCCCAGAAGGAATTGAGCTGGCAAGTTCTGAATACATGCATAGTTGAAAAATATGAAAACAGCTAAGAAAAAAATCATCATGCAGGGGAAATGCAATTGAAACGCCAAAGCAATCTCGAAGCAGTCTAATATGATAGCATTTACCTGCTATTCTATGAGTTAGCTTTTGGGGAAAAAAAAACAAACAAACCCACATTAACCTGTGTTTGTCATTAAAATTTTAAAAAATCGACTTTATGTGGGCTAATGCCACGAGATATCCTTACAACACAATTGTACTCTAAAATAATGAAAACTAAAATACATCTACAATTTTCCAGATTTCTTATCATCATTTTGCCTGTTTCTACTTTGAAGATTTGGGGGCGAAAAAGAAAACAACTTCTGTTGCTAGGAGCATTTCAATAAATGAAGATATTCCTCTGCCCACAGAGATGCCCCCATGAACCAGTTCTTCTGTTCTCCCCCAAACCAAATCACACACAGATGTATGGCTAAGTCTGAAGATGTTTATTAAGGCTAGTCATTTCAATTCTGAATTTAGTTACAGATTCAGGACACCCAGTGGGAGGGGTAAAAGGAGTGGATGAAAAATATAAACTCTTTCTCCCAGGGACGAGTTGCTTTATCTGCTTTGAATCTAATCATCAGCCCAATTTTGTATTTATCCTTATGCAAATTGGTCAGATGGTCTAAAAATCATATGAGAAGGCTAAGTGTAATATCTAGGGGTCAGGATGTAGCATGGGAAGTCTTGCTTTCTAAAGTTACCCCTAAATAAAATCCATGGAACCAGTTAATGCACCCACCCCTGGAGATTAAATATAAAAGGATAATACATTTGAAAAAATATTAGAGTCCATATTAGAATAACCAGATTAATCTTTCTGCAAAATATTAATTTGTCTGGGAAGGCAGTAGAGCATGCTGGTTAACTGGGGAGATTCCGAGTTAGAACTGATGCAAATCTTAGTTCTGCTATTTACTTGCTGTGGCAGGCAGTCTATAATGTCTTTGAAGGATTCTCACTACCTGATATTTGTGCCCTAATGTAACCCTCTCACTTTGATCGTGGACTGGCCTGGTGACTTGCTTCTCACCAATAGAATGTGGCAAAAGTGAGGGGGTGCGACTTCTGAGATGAGAGTATCCAAGATGTGAGTTTTGTCTTGCTAGAAGATTCTCGCTTTTACTGGCTTCAAACGGAGTAAGCTGCTATGTTGGAAAGGGCATGTGCCAAGGAACTGTGGGTGGCTTTTAGCCAACAGCCAGCAGGGAACTGAGGCCCTCAGGCCAACAACCCTTGAGGAACTGAGTCCTGCCAACAACCTACCTTGTAAGTGAGCTTGGAAGCAGATCCTTCCCCAGTCAAGTTTTTTAGATAAGACCACAGCCCCTGCTGATGTCCTGATTGCATCTCGTGAGAGCCCATGAACAGAAAACCTCAGGAATCTATACCTGAACTCCTGACCCACAGAAACTGTAAAATAATGAGTATTTGTTAAGCTGTTAAGCATGTGATAATGTGTTATGTAGTAATAGATAACTAATATAGGTACTATGCCATCTTAGGCAAACCTTTCTGAGCCCAAGCTCCTCATCGTATAATGGGGATACCAATGCCTACCTCTCAGGGTGGCTGTGAGAATTCAATAAGCTAAATGCTTAACATTGTAGCTGGCACCGTGTAAGCTTACTTTAAAATTCGCTTTTAAAGTAAATTGCCATTTCTTTTATGCATTTGAGATTAAGGAGGGAACATAAGGAAGATTATATGGAGGTGGAAGAAAGCATGGTGGGTATTGGACCACAGGATAGTTAAGATTCTGTGCTCTCATGAACGTGGTCATGCTTTAGAAGCAGTGGTCTGAAGGGGGCATCTCAAAGGTGTGTTAAGCTAGATGCACAGAAACAATGGACAGGGCTGGCGTAAGGCAGAGATAAGCCTTTTACTGAAGAAGTTATAGGCCTGGGGCGTGGCTACCCACCATTTCCTGCCCAGTTGGGAACTTATGATTTAGAGGTTATCCTGAAAAGATATTGATAATCCATTTACTTATTTATGCAACAGCCATTGGAGTATCTATGCCTCAGGCACCCTGCTTGGTGAGTAAGATGGTAAAGGTAACTAACTACCCTTGTGGACCTTACAATAGAGTTGGAAAAGACCACTTTAAAGAAATAGTTACACCTGTAAACATATCAGTAGTAACTGTGCAAACAGATGATGGACAAGAACAGGGTGCTATGAAAAGAATGAGGTAGATGAGTTTAGCCCAGAAAAGTGTGTGCCAGCGTGGAGGGGAAGGTTTCTCTATGAAGGGTGATCTAAGCAGAGGCCTTGATGTTCAAATGAGCAGATACATTTCAAGCAGAAGGAACTGCATAGCCAAGAGGGAAATGAATGTGACATGTAAGGAACTGGATAAGGACATGTGGCTGCAAAGTTAGTGGAAATAATAACATTGGATCTCACAGGGCCTGGAGGCCACATTAGAACTTTTGATTCCCATTTATTCATTTCCTCCTTGAATCTTTCCTGAGAGTGTTTCATTGGGCCAGGCCATACTCAGGGAGCAGGAATACAGTGATTAATAATAATGATAATGATACTGGCTAATATTCATTCAGTACTTACCACTTCCTATTAGAACTATTGTTTTAAGCACTTTGGTGCACCAACTCCTTTAATCCTCCCAGTGAGCCTATGCTGGAAAGTTAGAGACTAAATAATGTTAATTAGGATTTGTATTTTTAACAAGTTTGACAAACACTGGTTTAGTAGTTCAGTTCAATGGCTTTGGCTGGACAGATCCTCATTTGGGTCAGTCACAGCTTTGCTACTTTTGTAGATGTGTGTCACGTGCAAGTTGCTTCACCTCTCAGAGCCTTAGTTTCCCCATTTGACAAATGAGGTTAATGATACAGCATCTCCTAGGGCTATCGTGCATATTAAGTGAGCTGCATGCAAAGTGCTTAGAGCAGTGTCTGATGTGTAGTGAGTGAGTGAGCGACGATGATGATGGTGGTAGCATGGTGATGAGTGGGAAGGTAAAGATGTCTCCTGATTAAGGGTCATAGATCACAGCTGGGGCTTGGAGGACTGTCCTGAGACGGGACCCAGTCTTTTTGACCTTAGGTAGGGCTCCCAGACAACATACAGGCGCCCAGTTACATTGGGATTTCAGACCAACAACAAAAACATTTTTAGCATAAGTATCTCCCAAATATTGCATGGGACATACTTAACATTAAGCAATCATTTGTTGCTTATTTGGGCGTCCTGTATTTTTATTTGTTAAACCTGACAACCCCAACTTTAGGGAAGGCCTGGTTCCCTCCCTCCCCCAAGTTGGAGCCCCAAAATACCCCCACTGCACAGACATGCCCCCGATTAGGAGCCTCCACTCGCCAGGTACCCCAGTCGATCCCAGAAGGGCCACTCAAGCTTCCGCCCCGCCCAGGCAGCACTAGAGGCGCCCTGAGCGGCTGAGCCCCGCCTGCCCGCCCGGCCGCCCCGCCCTGAGCGGAGGGTGCCTCCTCCAGCCAGCCAGGCCGGCCCCAGCCGTTTAGCTGTGTGGAGTCGCGTCTCTCCCTCCCACGCAGTGTACTCAGGCGAGGCCAGAAACTCGCTCATCATGTCGGCTGAGGAGGCGGGGGGTGTTTTCCACAAAGCCCAGGGCAGGACCCTGGACGCGTTTTCCGCAGGTACTGCCAGTCCTTCGCCGGGAAAGGTGGGGGGCGGTGACTTCAGGGCTGCGGAACCTTTCGCCGGGGGAACCTTCAGCCCGTGAGCGCGCACCTCCAGCCGGACCCCGCCGGGGGCTGCACCCGGGGGCCGGGGAACGCAGTAACACAGTGCCCGCTCGCAGGGCTTCCAGGGGCGCTGTGGAGAGGAGCATGTCCGCGTGGAGAGGCTGGTCACGGAGCCTCGCTGGCCTTGACCTAACTCCCCTGAGAGAAGAGAAGCGAGAGTAAGGCAGCAAAGCAGCTAGTAGCGCGGGCTCTGCCGGTGGACTTGGTTTCCAAGCCTTGCCTTGGGCTCATTACTTAGCCAGCCTGGGCCCCAGTTTCCTCATCTGTAAAACGGGAATAATAATAGTGAAGTTCTGCCTAAGCCCCTGGTGCGTGTCAGAGAACGTTATTTTTTATGATGGCCGTGATGAGTCTACTCTGTAATCACGGCTGCTGACTCTTAATACGAGTCGTCCAACAGCGCCCATCAGGACGGTAGAAAGGGAAGGCCGTCAGGAGTTGTGTTAGAGTTAAATGCGTGACCTTTGGCTTTATGGATACTTTGCCTCGCTGTAAAAATGGGGTTGCTAGTACCTCATAGGTAACTGATTAAACAGACCGCTCCTTTAGGAGACTAAAAGTGTTTTTTTGTAACCCAGTGCCTGACACACGCTAGGTTCTAGGTGAAGGTCATCCCTAGAGCTGTAAATCAAGGGAGACGTCTGTCCCCGGTTCCTTTTGTCGCCTCGGTGGCTTTTTGTTGCCCGCACCAGTTCTGTAACCCGAGGGAAGTCACCGATGCCCTGCCCCACCGGGCTTCGTGCTCCGTTCTTTCCCTTGCCCAGCTCTGCGCGCTGGTTTTCTTCAACTGCAACTAAAAGGGCCAAGGCCTTTCTCGTCGCGCGGGACTTGGCACATGGCTCTTCCTTGTTCCCAATGTGAATAGCAGGGCTGCTGAGCCTGGCTCTTTCTCAACCTTCACACCTTATTTAACGTCCAGTCACTTCCTCAGACAGAGGTTCCCTGGCTACCCTATCTTAACGTAGGTTTCTCCTGTAATTCTCTGTTTTAAAACTCTGTTTTCTTCTTTCCTTGCACCTCTTGGCGGAGAGTGGCCAGGTCCTGGAAGAGCATGTGTGTGTGTGTGGGGGGGGGCGGCCCAGAAATAGAGCTGTGGATTGTGGAAAATACAATCTTCTAAATATTTCAGTACACCTTTTATTCCCATTGTGAGATTTGTTTGAGATTTATCCCTGTTGACACAGGGAGCTCTTGTTCACTCATTTTCTTGCTGGGCAACATTCCATTGTGTAAACAATGTGCTTTATGCATTTGGTTGCTGGATGAGCTGAGTGTCTTCCCTTTGTCTTCCCCAGTCTGCTCTCTCCCTTCTCCACTGAGCTCCAGGAGGTTGAACTCTGGAATTCAGTGGGCTCCTTGTCCTCTGGCTTCCCGTTGGGTTCAGCCACTGGGGAGACCCAAGCAGAGAGCAGACGGAGGGGGAAGCAAAAGTCAGGGTGTTCACTTCCCCAGCTTACTCCCTGTAGGGTTGCCTTGGGCAGGCTGTGTTCCTTACTGAAGGTCACTGCTTCTTTCAAGATAGCCTTTCCTCTGGGACTTCCTTTTCAGATTTGGGTAACCACTTGCTCCCTCCCTCCTTGCAGATGTAGGAATGGCAACAGCTCTGCTTTTTTTTTTTTCTGTCTTTGGATTCCCAAACTGACCTTCATAGTTTTTCCTCACTGAACTCATCCCAAAACAACCCCTTTTAAAGCCCTCCTTTAATTATCCTCTTTTAAGTATGCCAGCTATTTCCTGCTAGCATTCCGATAACATGGACCTGGAGTTGTTTGTTTTTCACTCTTGGTAACAGTGCTGTTACGGACATTCTTGCACAAGTGTTGTGGACACGTGGGGAAGTCTCTCCAAGGCGCATACCCAGGAGCAAAGCTCTGGGGTGTAGGGGATAATCACCCCGAGCTTTACTAGATCGTGTGTAAATGTCTTCCAAAGCCCTGACACCGATTTACACAACCGCCAGCAGTGAGTGTTCCATATTACTCTGTGCTATCTCTTCTTTTCAGCTGAATAAGTATCTGTTATGTTCCCATTGCACTCCCTAGGATCTTGTGGAGAATAGAAAAAGAAGGGGGTGGGGAAGGCAGCTACATGCCCTCAGGGGATCATAATGTAGGCACAGAGCTGTGGCACAAAAAATAATTCTTGGCAGCTAGGGTGCTTCACTGGCCACTGCAGTGGGAGGAGTCTGGATTTCAAGCATTGGTCCTGTGTGATGGTGAGGCCATTAACTGAAATTGGAGTAAGGAGTAGGATCAGGTGCGATGGGATTGATTTGGGAAGTGGTGGCCTTGAGGTGCCGTCAGGAAATCAGAGGCAGTTTGTGGGGTGTAGCGCACAGCTGGGGGTGGAGGTGTGGGTGCCATCCACCTAGAGGAGAGCAGATGGTGTTTCTGTGGGAGTCAGTGGCATTGCTGAGGGGAACGGTGTGGCACAGTGGACGATGTGTGTGTCTGTGTGGGTAATGTTAGGATATGACAGTGGTTATGGGGTAGGAAGAAGAAAAAGGCACATGGAAGGCCTCAGCAGGAAACAACCAGGACTTTGGGAAGATAAACACAGGAGCTGACCTTGGCACTGTCATTGGGGTGGAGGGCGTAAGGCAGGGTGGCCCACAGGGTCAGACGTTGCAGACGTCTACGTGAATGTTAGCTGAGCAGAGAATGGCAGGTTTGATTGTTATGCCACCTGGAAGAGAGCAATGTCAGTAGAGCTGTAGGGGGACGCCTGGAATGGTAGGGAGTTAGAATGTGACGTCAGCAAGGGTAAGATTCTGTGTGGAGCCATTTGGTGATGCAAGGGAGACATGGTTCAGTAGCAGTGTAAGGGAGGCTGACGGGCTCGAACTGGTAACAGTGATGAGAATAGCAGGAGCATCTGACATTTATCAGGTGTTCATGGCAGCCGGGCCCCATGCTCTGGGCTACATGTGGACTCTCATGGGATCTTCAAAATAGTCCTGTTGAGGTAGCTATCATGATTATCCTCTTTTTATAGTGGAAGAAAAATCAAGCTCAGAAAGGCTAGGCAACTTGCTCAAGGTCACATGATTGGCCTGAGCCGTATCTGGGGTTGAAAATGCAAAAGGCAGGAAAATTATTGGAGAGACATATCCAAGGAGATGAGAAAGGATGGGATGGAGGGCTCAGAAGAAGGGTGGGCCCTGGGATCACTTGTACTCTTCGACCATGTCTCCCTCCTGTCCATCTATCTGTCCAGGCCATCCATCCACCAATCTGTCCATCTCTTTACCTGCCTGTCTGTCCATCTGTCTATCGGTTCATTGATTTGCCCACTCATCAAGTGTACTGAGCACTTGCCTTGTCCCCGCCATTGTGCTGGATGCCAGCGCGCAGCGATGAGTGAAGAACATGCACCCCTGGCACACAGCTGCTTGGGAAGGTTTGTGTAACCTGTCAGTCACACCAACCAGGGTAAATGGCAGTTGTGGCAAATGTCAGAGAAGTGAAGGATTAGATGTCACGAGATCCTCTCATTATTGATGGGGTATTGATGACGTGCAGGGAGGGCTCCCTGAGGAAGGGCTTTGTCATCTGATTGCTGAAGGATGACTATGAGTTAGCTGGGCCGTGAAGGGAGGGCAGACCATTGCGGACCAAGAATGGAGCAAGTTTGAAAGCCTGGCATGGTGGGACCGGCGAGGGAAGGATGAGGGAAGAAAGAAGCCGTTGAGTCTGGAGCAGTGTGGTTCGCTGGAGAACGGGGGTGGGGTGGGGGTGGGGGTGGGGGACTGAGTTTGTCTTTGCTTAATAGCATCAAAGTGTTCGAAGCTTCACATGTGAGGAAACAAGGACACATCATCAGATACCCATTTTGAGAACAATGGTCTGGCTGCAGCAGTGACAACAAAAGAATTTCTACATAGGAGGAACTTAGGGTGCCATCTGATTGGAGGAGCTTGTCTTGAAGCATCGTTTCCATAGCACCATATTGTTCAGTTTGAATTTGTGTTCAGTAACTGAAGGTGCATGTGGTCATGGTGGTGGGGGCTTCCACTGGAGATTATGGGGGTGCTGAGGTGTTGAAGCTTCCTAGCCCATTGGAGCTGCCACAGGGCTGCCAGTAGGACCAGAGAACAAGAGTCCTTCACCTGGAAAAGGATGGGAGGGGGATGTAGAGAGACTTAGAAGATAAATTCATGAGCTAGGAAGAGGGAAAACGACCCTGGACTGCTCCAGAAGTGGGGCCTGCTTTCAGTCCCCTCTGGGCTGAGCGCCCCAGTGGGCATGCTCTGTGGGTCACACAGCCTGGAGCTCTGACCTTGGGGGGATCGGCTTAGGATTCCCAGGCCTGTGGGTTTTCTTCCCTGGGTGCTGAACCCCTAGTCCACCCCAGGCTGCCTCTGTTGCTGTCACTGACTTCTCCCTGTTAGCACTGCTGGTGACTCTGAGAGATGTCCTTGGAGGGTCCAGTATCAGTCCAGGCTCTGCGGGCAGGTAGGACCTCAAGCTGGTCGAGTTGCCCCACGGGCAGGCCTGGAAGAGGAAGGAAAGGAACTGGCTTTTCCCATCTGTTGCCCAAATACTGCCTATCCCAGACGTTCGCTTAATTCAAGCAACAGTGCCTATCTCAGCCCTGAGAGCTCTCACGCTCACTTCTAGAAGCCCCTCTGGAATGAGCTAGACAGTTTCTCTCTCGAGGGAAGCCTGGCAAGTACATGAAAGAGCTCGGTCTTGGCCTGTTCAGGTGGTTTATAACAACAGCTCTGGAGGCTGGGGAGTCCAAGACCAAGGCGCCTGCAGATGCAGTGTCTGCTGAGGACCTTCCTGGATCACACTGCTGTCTGCTCCCTGTGTCCTTACATGAGAAGTGGGGCGAGCTCTCTGGGTGCCTTTTACAAGGGCACTAATCCCATTGCTAAGCCTTGAAGACCC